CCTGTTCATTGAAACTTTGATTTTATGACAAAACACAATCATGCCATTTTTATCTACACTTATGCATACGAGTAGAACATGGATGTCCACTGACAAACCGAAGGGAATAAATAGTGAATAACTAATAAAAACATTTTCAAGATATCAGATAACATACAGCACGTTGGGAGTAAGTTCTTAGACGATATTCCCCCTCTCTGCTTGTTTCGAGTTGAAACAAGCAAACGTGGATTTTGTCGCCCAGACTGTGGGTGCGACTCCTCAGAGAAACGCCACGACTTATGGAATAACAATAGCGAAAACTATGATAAGCTTTTAGCACAACACAAAGGGCATTCAGATTAACTAAAGCGAATTATACGTTTTATCGACGTATTTCCATAGACGGTGCACATGCGCAAGCGCAAGCGCACACACACAATGATACAGCATCTACATATTCATCGCAGCCCTACTGCGGTTTTGCGTTCGGATAATGCTCTATAATGAAGAAAGTGATGTAGCATGTTTTGTCTATTTAATCAGTGTTTAATGGCGAAATGTAAAACACCTTGTCACTTCATTAGTTCGATTAGCCGCTACTCGATGGTGTAGCCACGGCCCACGGGAAGCATTTACAAAGGTATCCGTGATTCTGCAAAATGTTTTATTTGATTTAGCTGCCATACATAAATGTGTAAAGCATGCCCCTAAAATTGAAAACTGTGTTCAAAGAAGAGGGAAATGCCGCCTCACCTCCATAAGTGTTGCCATTTCGATAAGCAGGCAATACGAGGAAGTCGCATTTAAAATATATATATATCCCATGACAAAGTCAACGACAACTAATAACACATGTTTTGTTATCACTTGTGTAAAGAAAGTGAGAGATCAAATATTTTGCGTAGTTTCCCAAAATAGATGCTAATACACTTGTTGGTCATTTATATTCTACCAATCACACTCTTTGTTACAAGCAACCCCGGGTTTTCGCCTCATTCATAAAAAAAAAAAAAAAAAAAAAAAAAATCGCAATGGTTGCAACGTAGTGGCTGCCAGATGTATGAAAGTGGGACGCAACAAGTGTACTGAAACATAATTCCGTAACTGTACCTTCTCAGCCATCGAAATTTTGTGTTTCTTGTCAGTCTGAAACAAGTCCTTGTTATAAGAGGATCCTCCTAACGGTTTAGCGCATTTTGTTACATTTATTGTTTTGCGTTTTATCAGACTCCTCCCACAGACTGTAGCAGGTAAATGAAAGAATGAAAAACAAAACAAAAACAATTAAGAAAAAAGAAACTGGTAAAGAAAAATAAATAAATAAATCTACGGTCTTTAACGCAATATATATATATATATATATATATATATATATATATATATATATATATAATATACATATATATAATATTCAACGCAATAAGAAGATAGGATAACAACTAAGATATTTAAAATGTCAAGTTCGATTTTAACTACTGTACATCACTTTCCGAATGAAAGTTATATCTGTTTCAATCTCATATTTGGGTTGCAAACTCCAGTAGTCTTTATAGTTAATCCTGTAACTAATTATAAGAGAGAAAAAAAAAAAGCATGCGACTAAGATGTAAAAAAATGACCCGACATAAAAGTGGAAGTGTTGAAGGCAGTAACTAGATCGCCCTTTTCATGTGGTTAATTTGCCCCTTCCTTGTAGCTAATTTGCCGCTTCCCTGCAGCTAATTCGCCCCTTCCCTGCAGCTAATTCGCCCCTTCCCTGCAGCTAATTCGCCCCTTCCCTGCAGCTAATTCGCCCCTTCCCTGCAGCTAATTCGCCCCTTACTTGCAGCTAATTCGCCCCTTCCTAGTAGCTAATTCGTCCCTTCCTTGTAGCTAATTCGACCATTCCTAGTAGCTAATTCGCCCCTACCTAGTAGCTAATTCGCCCCTTCCTAGTAGCTAATTCGTCCCTTCTTGTAGCTAATTCGCACCTTCCTAGTAGCTAATTCGCCCCTTCCTTGTAGCTAATTAGCCCCTTCCTTGTCGCTAGTTCGCCCCTTCCTTTTAACTAATTTGCCCCTTACCTGTAGCTAATTCGCCTCTTGTAGGTAATTCGTCCCTTCCTCATAGCTAATTCGCCCCTTGTAGCTAATTCGCACTTTTCTAGTAGCTAATTCGCCCCTTCCTTGTGGCTAATTCGCACCTTCCCAGTACCTAATTCGCCCCTTCCTTGTGGCTAATTCGCACCTTCCTTGCAGCTAATTCGCAACTTCCTTGCAGTTAATTCGCAACTTCCTTGCAGCCAATTCGCCCCTTCCTTGTAGTTGATTCACTCCTTCCTTTTAGCTAATTCGCCCATTGCTTTTAGCTAATTCGCCCCTTCCTTTTAGCTAATTCGCCCCTTCCTTTTAGCTAGTTCGCACCTTCCTTTTAACTAATTTGCCCCTTCCTTTTAGCTAATTCGCCCCTTCCTTTTAGCTAGTTCGCACCTTCCTTTTAGCTAATTCGCCCCTTCCTTTTAGCTAGTTCGCACCTTCCTTTTAGCTAATTCGCCCCTTCCTTTTAGCTAATTCGCCCCTTCCTTTTAGCTAGTTCGCACCTTCCTTTTAGCTAATTCGCCCCTTCCTTTTAGCTAATTCGCCCCTTCCTTTTAGCTAGTTCGGACCTTCCTTTTAGCTAATTCGCCCCTTCCTTTTAGCTAATTCGCCCCTTCCTTTTAGCTAGTTCGCACCTTCCTTTTAGCTAATTCGCCCCTTCCTTTTTGCTAATTCGCCCCTTCCTTTTAGCTAATTCGCATCTCCCTTGCATCTAATCCATGTAGCTAATTCGCACCTTCCTTTTAGCTAATTCGCCCCTTCCTTGTAGCTAATTTGCCCTTTCTTTGCCGAGAGAAAATAACTTGGAAAAGGGAGAGGAGAAAGGAGGATGGGAGAAGAATAGGAAGACATAGGCCTACAGGTAAAGGATGTAAGCCCACAGGAAAACGGAAGAAAGGCCTGTTAGTGGGAGATATAGGTCTACAGAAAAAGAAAAATGGGTGGCAGGCACAAAGGAGGTAGATATAGGCTTGCATGAAAAGGAATATATAGGCCTACAGGATGGTGAAGATATAGGTCCAGAGGAAAATAGATAGGTATAGGCCTACATGAAAAGGAAGATCCAGACCCACAAGAAAATGGAAGGGAGGCCTATAGGAAGTGGGTATAGGCCTACATGAAAAGGAAGATCCAGACCCACAAGATAATGGGAGGGAGGCCTATAGGAAGTGGGTATAGGCCAACATGAAAAGGAAGATATAGATCCACAGGAAAAATAGGTAAGTCTAAAGGTAGTAAGTACAGGCCTACAGGAAAAAGAAAATGTAGGCCTGCAAGAAAAGTATAGGCCTACATGAAGAGGAAGATATAGGATTACAGGAAAAGGAAGATGTAGGCCTGTTTGATAGTGAATACATAGACCTACAGGAAAATTTAAAAGATAGGTCTATAGGAAAAATAAAGTATAGGCCTACAGGAAAAGAAAGATATGTCTACAAGAAAATGGAAGGGGAATGGAAGACATAGGCCTACAGAGAGAGGGTATGGGGGGGGGAAGGTAAAATTAATTCTAAACAGTGGTAAAAAATAAAGACCACATCTTTAGAAATTACTAAAATCCCGTAAACATGTTTCTATGGACGAAAACGTTTTGCACGATAAATACAGAACTTAGAACACTAGACAAAATTAATTATAATGTAGATTAGTTTGCTTGGTTAGAGTTGACGAAATTAGTCAATTGTGTTCTATGTATGGGGGGAGGGAGAGGGGATAGGGAAAGAGAGAGGGAGGGAGGGAAGGAGGGAGAAGTGGAGGTGAAAAGAAATGAATCATCAGAATCTCTTTATATCATCATTTCATTATAAACGAACAATTGTAATGTGGATAATCAAAATAGATTCAGTCCACTGCTGCTAATAATTGTTATGTAAATCTTTTCATGTGGAGATAATGCTTTGATGTAGTGGTTGTGGTGGTCATATAATGAAGATCAAACAAAATAAACAGTACAAAGCGGGGTTCTCTGTGAATAGTTAGGTTGTTAGCTTAAAATATACTAAAACTACATGCAAAAGGCACACGCATATATCTTATCTATGTATCTTTCATTCATTTTCATATTTTTGTAATTGCAGAAAACTGATAATTTTGGTGGAATTTCATTATACTCTTTATCTTCTCGATATGTAAAAAGATGACAGTGAGATAACGTATTTAATTTTAATCAAGTAATATTAGATCTCAGATTTTTTTTTTTTTTTTTTACCTGTAAAGTGGAAGAGCCACATTTCTGCGTCTTGATGAACATGACGTGATTGTGAGGAGAGCATTGTGCCACTGTGGTCGCTGGAATCTCCTTCACCTCCAGACTGTGGGATGGATTAAATAACTCGACTCGATTTAGCTTTTTTTTCCTCAATTTCTTAATCGCGCACACACACACACACACACAACACACACACACACACAACACACACACACACACACCACACACACACACACACACACAACACACACACACACAACACACACACACACAACACACACACACACACACACACCACACACACACACACACACCACACACACACACACACAACACACACACACACACCACACACACACACACCACACACACACACACACGTACATGTGTTTGTGTTTGTGTGTGTGTGTGTGTGTGTGTGTGTGTGTGTGTGTGTGTGTGTGTGTGTGTGTGTGTGTGTGTGTGTGTGTGTGTGTGTGTGTGTGTGTGTGTGTGTGTGTGTGTGTGTGTGTGTGTGTGTGTGTGTGTGTGTGTGTGTGTGTGTGTGTGTGTGTGTGTGTGTGTGTGTGTGTGTGTGTGTGTGTGTGTGTGTGTGTGTGTGTGTGTGTGTGTGTGTGTGTGTGTGTGTGTGTGTGTGTGTGTGTGTGTGTGTGTGTGTGTGTGTGTGTGTGTGTGTGTGTGTGTGTGTGTGTGTGTGTGTGTGTGTGTGTGTGTGTGTGTGTGTGTGTGTGTGT